GCCTTCCATTTATATATATATTAACTTTGCCTTGGCGTTGTTTTGTATTTTGTTGTTTTTTTTACGCGAGGGCCCATGATTGTCAGCTAACCGCTGTTTTGCGTTACCCTCGGTAAATAAAGTTTAATAATTTAAAAAAAAAATATTATTATTATTATTATTATTATGATTATTATTATTATTATTAGTATCATCATCATCATCACCGTCATTGTCGTCTTGCTCAAAATCAAAAAAGGATAGGCCTACATAAATACGTAAGTTGCGATCCTGAAACAAACCAAAACAAAATAAACAGAAAAAAAATAAAGTGATCAAACTGGACACAATGCTAACAGCAGATGTACTACAAATTCAATTCAATTCATTTTAATCAATCAATTTACTTTTAAAAGTACTCCATTTTATTATGATCAAAACATTTCTTAAATATGTGGGTAAAGCACCCCAGAGTCTACAATAGAATAAATGTAGCATATATGATTTTTTTTCGGGAGATAAAAACAATTTAGTAGATTAACTAACTTGAGAGGTGTCAGATTTTCTATATAATATGTAGGTAAAAATCGTGATCTAATTGAATTGTATACAGGGCATTGAAGCACAAAATTATTCTCATTTTCAATTTTTTCCAAAAGTGCACATTCTGCAAAGTTCATCTTGGCTATTATAGGAATTAATATTCAAGTTGTATGAAGAAGTTCTAATAAGGGTTATACATCGCTGAATCTTTAACGGAATGATATTTGTTAAGTAATGCTGGGTTGAATATAAAGTAATGAGATCTTGGTAGAAAACTAAAGAATTGGAGTCTGAGCAGATAAAACTGTAATTAATTTTGTCTTTACATCTTTGTTCAAATATTTTTATATATAATATATAGTGAGAAGGAGAGAATTTAAAATGTCATTAACAATTATTGTAAAAGGTAATATTAAAGTATTATTAATTAATAATTATTTACAAATACAATATTTGCAAGTAAAAGTCATTTGAAAATGTGTAAAGTGAAGCTAAAATATTTTCATGGGATTCAGGAGAAATGCAAATTTTCAATTCAAACCGATAGTCATTGTCATTCTTTCTTTCACAAAAATACAATATGAATACAAATAAATTATATATTATAGGCCTATTACTGTACATTTTATTGTATCATATTATATCATATCATATCATGTATCATCATATCATATCATATAATATCATAAACTCTTTGTTTTGGCGTACATTGTAAAGAAGAAAACGTGGAATCATGGATAGATTGAATAATACAAATAAATTATATTTATATTTAGGCCTATTACTGTACATTATATTATATCATTATCATAATATATCATATTATATCATATCATATATCACATATCATATGTCATATCATATCATATAATGTCATATTAAACTATATTGTTAGGAAGGTTTTCATTTATCAAGATACATTGTGAAGGAGAGAACGTCATTGATAACTTGAATGATATAAATAAATTATATTTATATTATAGGCCTATTACTGTACATTATAGTATATCATTATCATAATATATCATCAAATCACATCACATCATATAGGCCTATCATATGTCAAGTCATGTCATGTCATATCATATAATGTCATATTATATTATATTATTTATATCATATTATTATTAAACGGTTTTGATTTAGCGTGATACATTGTAAAGGAGCAACGTCATGGATAGGTTGAATAATACAAATACATTATATTTATATTTTAGGCATATTACTGTACATTAAATGATATTATATCATATTATATCATATATCGCATATCATATATCATGTCATATTATACCATACCATGTCATATAAAGTCATATTAAATTATATTATTATAGGAATGTTTTGATTTAGCGTGATACATTGTAAAGGAGCAATGTCATGGATAGCTTGAATAATACAGATAAACTATATTTATATTATGGGCATATTACTGTACATTATATGACATTATATCATATTATATTATATCATATCATATCATATATTATATATTATATATCATATATCATATATCATATATCATATAATGTCACATTATATTATAGGTATTATATTATATTATAGGAAGCTTTGATTTAGCGTGATAAATTGCAAAGGACAACGTCATGGATAGCTTGAATAACACAAATAAATTATATTCATATTATATTCATATTACTGTACAGTATATATAC